ACAACTTAGTTCGGGACTTGAAATCTCATCACTAAAATGGTATCTCATTAAGGATTAACAGGTATTGAAATGAGCAAGGAAACTGCTTCTAGATAGTGTTCATAATGCTGCAATAAGTGTAAAACTTCAAGAAAATAGCTGCGTTATAATAAGGCAACTAAAAATCGAACAGAACTTTCGAGACAACCTAGTACGTATCTCCTTATGATGCCTACCTCAAGGTCTTTGCCTGCAAAATCTTTGTCTACTTTTTCTGTGGTTTCATCTAGCTTCCTCCATTTTCCGATTATTTTCTTTGTAGACTTTCGAGAAACTCTAAATGAACTTTATACCTAGAGTTTTCTTAAATCCATGAGGTGATAAGACTTACAATCTGAGCCCTTTCCGTTTCTTCTCCTTCTCCAACTCCTCCACCATACTAGGGCGACCTCCAGTGCAGAGCAGCGTCTGCATTTAGTCGTTTGAAAATTAGCTATAACGCTGAAGACACTAAAACGTAAGTAAGTATATTTGGAATGACCAAACTATGCTGGGGATAAAAACAGCACATTATACTAATATTTATTTTTCGCGGAGGATACAGCAGTTTACAATTGATTAAAATAGTTTTTTTGTTGAAAAAAGACATGACTCTACATATAAGTGACAGCCAAGTTCATTAACATTTTGGGAACCTAGCAGAAAACAAATGTAGATTTACATGTGTGGGGGTATTCAAATTTTCGAAGGTATGAAAAAAACTGAAGTAGGAAAAGAAATGGAGATTTGCTTTCGAAGGAGGAAAAACTACAATTCAAAACTAGAAGTATATATCATACGCTATTTATCGGAAGTAGATGGTGAAAGATAACTTGCAAAAACTTTTAAACATTAAAAAAACGTATAAAAACGATTACAACACGAAAGCAAAACATGACTATATTTGAGTAATTACACTCTATACATGGCGACAATGTGTGACAGGCGTACCACTGTAAGGGCAATCCCTCTAAAATCGTTCCATGAGTGCAAGCGCTTTACGCAAATTTTCGACAACTGCTTTGGTGTCCTCGTAGTCGATAGCGCTTAGCGCGTATTTAGTGAATTTGCGTGCCTCGTTGAACGCTTCAATCGGTGGTTTTCGATCTTCACCGGAGCCTGAACAAAATATGCAGATTTTGTACGAAAGTTGAAAGAACAGAGGTATTCTCTGAGCTGTGTGGCTATTGCGACTGTGGAAAAGAGCAATGACATCCATCCCTTCTCTCGAGACAGACAAATTACAAAAAAAAGCGATAGCGAGAAAAACAGAATGAAGATAAACAATTCGACATTGAGCAAACCAAACTGAAAGTGGAAGCCGTGTCAAGCACACCTACCAGATATTGATCCGCCCACTTCTGGTACGATCGTATTCATAGGTGTAGGATTATTGTAATTGTGTTGTGGAGCAGGAGGAAAGTTGCCGGCATTACCTGAGTTAATAATTTCATGAACAATTCTAACGAAAAGAAATCAAATTCAGAAAAAAGATAAGACGCAGAAGGTCTAAGGTTAACCTGGTACATTGGGTAGACCCGCAAAACCATAACTAGGCTGCTGGTGGGGTTGCTGAGGTGGCTGAGGGCGCTGAGGTTGTGGAGATTGATGAGGTTGCTGTG